AGATCACAATTATATATAAATGAGGAATATGGGGGTTACAGGGTGCTCCCCCAAGGTATAGAATGTCACAGAGATCTACTAGTTTTAAAATCTTGAAGGACATGGTGACCAGAAACAATCCGTTCTCTAACTGCAGATAAATAATTACGTTGTCTAACCAATCAGTTAGTTTTAAATGCAAAACATGTCTTGCTAAACTTGTCTTGTATATCCAATACATTTAACATAGTTTTATTTAATTAAAAATGCTTTTTTATGTATTTTAATTGAATTTGAATTTCCATCCAACTAGAACTTGACTGAAATCACAGAAACACACACAAAAAACCCATTTAGGAAAAAAATGTCATTCACAATTTTCTAACATAATAAAAATATGTTGTATTAAGAATCTGAATGAATGTAAATTAAGCTATATAACTGCTTAAATAAACATTTATAGATATAGTGTGTCCTCCTCGTTAGCAAAAAGAAGCATCACGTTTAGTTACAAATCACGTTTTAATGGTTACCACCAATGAATGCAACCTTTAAGAAAATAACTAAACAGTATAAATACAAACATCATTAAAATTGATTATTTAAATTAAGGTTTCCTGCCCAGTGATTTAAATCTTGATTTAAAATAAGTGATTTAAATCACTTTGATTAAAATCGGTCCACCCTGCTGTATAGAAAGTGATGATCAACAAAATAGGGGATAGTATCCCCAGGTGTATTGAAGGTCAACTGGTGATTGCAATGCATGTTGATATACTTGGATGGAAAAGTTTTGCAGAGGTGCCAAGTATTAGCATTTATCTGGTGGCAGTGTAATTCATTAAATTGCTCCTTGATTTTTGGCCTGTAGCAGCTGGGCGTGAGACTGCCATATGAAATTCCTTCAGTGGTGAGGAAGTGGAGCATGGCTTGACCTGATGATGCACAACCTGTTTCGTTCATCCTTTACAATCTGGGTTTAAATCTTTTTTTTTTTAAACCATAAATGACAAGTGTCCAAAGGAAGAAAATTATGCAAAATAGATATAAATACTATGAAAATGTCTCCAACACATCAAGGGGCATGCATGTGTGCTATGTGGGGCTTTTTAAAGAGTGTTGGTAAAACAGGACATACCATTTTGATTTAAACTTTGATTTCAAGACTGAAAAATAGTGAGTGGTGGTATTGTGGTGGTTTAACTTGGTCAATCATGATGTCATTGTCTTGTTCACTTGTATACTGCAGTTCTGTTGATTGAAATGCGGTTAAGGTTCTTGTTTTTCATACTTCACGTCTATGACCTCATGACAATGCAATACTGCCCTCCAATTACATCATGCTTTAAAGTATTGATTATGACCTCTTGAGCAGTGATATTACACTTCAGTTAAACTGATATGTATGTTTATAGTGAAAAAGGATTCAGGATAGCCTCTTCTTACTGGAATCAGAATTTTGCAGGCATCTCCTGTCGAGCTAGCATGAGCTGGTAATTATTGAACCGGATGAAAAGAGCTGTAAAGTCTGAAGAGAGCTTTTTTTTGGACTGAAAACTGCTGGTAGCCAATAGGAGTAATAAAGCTGGTCGCCAGGGCAGGCAATGTCTATTTCTAAAGCTTAATTAACCTTGACCTAGGTTTGGCCACTTCAGTTCATCTGATCAGTGCAGCCAAGCAGAAACAGGATGTCAGATAGGGCTACAGGTCAGATAAGTGTGTGTTAGGCAGGATTTATTCTCCTGATTTGAACCCTCCACACTTTCCAAGATGTCTGGTTGACTCATGGAAATGTGTAATGTGATGTTTGTTCTTGAAGCTGGAATTTTCACTTTCTTTTAATGCCAACCGTTGTGAAATAGAGCATACATACTTTATTCTATAAGTTTTGACACTGTAATCTCTCATCACTGTAATATCTGAACACCTTCCAGTAGTTCACCTGAGCAGCGTGACGAAACATCAGTCACATGTGGTTCACTCTTTTCCCTTTACCCTCTCCCCAGGAGGAGAGTTTGTGTACAAACTAGTTTTGTTGGTGTTGGTTTATTAAAAAAAACTCTGTATACTGCACTGTATTTATATTGGTAAAAGCAAGGTCAGAGTATGCTTAGCATGTGGAAAGTGAGGTGATGATTTTTGTGGTGGTTCATAGTTCCTGTGGGAATTCAGCCCAATCCTGTGCCAGCCCCTGAGAAGGCTGTGACTCTACTAATATGGATTTTGTTTGACTTAAATTTTTAGGACCAAGTCACAAAGTTCGTATTTTAAGTTATTGAACATGTTCAAAAACACACTTGCCTGGTCACCACCAGCCAGTCTTAATAGTGATCAATTTCATTCTTCTCTCTCCACAGCCTTGTCTACACTAGAAACGTTTTGCTGGTAGTGCTATACCAGTATAACTGTACTGGCAAACCCTCCTAGTGTAGCTGCAGCTTATACTGGCATAAAATTGCTTCTGCTGTCTTGGCTTACAACAGTTCAATGAGAAACATAAGACATACCAGCAAAAGTACTTTATACCAGCCATAAAAGCATATCTATGCTAGGGCTTATACTAGCGTAGCTGTGTTGGTAAAAATATTGCACCCTAACTGACATTGCTATGCCAGTATAAGTTTTAAGCATAGACCAGGCACGTCACTGACGAGTCATGCCCAGAGCAGGAAGGTCCTACGCCACCAGACCCTGTTAAATGCTTTGATCATGAAGATTAGTCCCAGTCATAGGGTATTCTATTCTCTCGTATAGCATTGAGCATAATGAGGGCACCTGATCCTTCAGGATGTCTCTGGACGCTATCATCGCCTAAATATTTAACAATACTAATAATGGATATGCTGCTACTAGTGAAAGAGCAGGCAGCAACAGTGAGAGCTGCTGAGAAATGCATTCACACTGATGAGCAGCTATCAGCTTTCCCCAGGGTGTGTATATGCACTCTCTCACTTTCACATCGCGTAGGTGCACATTCCAACCTGAGCCCTGTCAGATACATGTGTATTGGAAAGTTCAAAGGCATGCTTATGATCAATCCTGACTTTGCCTCAATAGCAGAGAACCGGAATGTGCCACCCATCAAAACAAACAAACAAAAACAAAACCCAAAAACACAATATAGGAAAGTCACACACCCTTCTCCCCTGGGTCAGGTGAGAGGTGAGTACCACAGGGGTGCTCTACGTCCACTCCAGGCAGCCGGGAAGCAATAAGGGCGAGAAGGTTAGTGATCCCTTACAGACACCTGAATTAATCTTTGCTTGTTAGGCTTGGGTTGCAAAGAGATAAGTGGTGTATTCTTAAGACACACAAAACACTTCGAAAATGCTCTATTTGTAAAATTGACTCAATTTTTATAGTCACAATATTGTAATGTTATTGCCAGCATTAATGTTGGTGGTTTTGGGTTTTTTTTTTTTTGCTGGGGTATCAAATGATACCTGTTAGAATCCTGCTCTTGGGTTCCTACTCTTATATACAGATGTGTCCAGGAACTCCCTCAGTTTAAAACCCCGAGTTGTCGATTTCAGCACAGGGACATCTCATGTCACTCCAAAGAATCTAAGCTGCTTTTAGTACAGCAATGGTGAATTCCTCTCTGAATGCAGTCAGCAGAAATGCTCCCACAGGGGTTGCCGGTAAATTTTTCTGTTGCATTATATCACAATTCTGGTCTAATACAAGGGTGGTTGTGAATTGTATCTTACTGTTTGCTATTTCTTCAGTTTCTAAGGGCTGGTCTACACTAAAAAATTAGATCGACCCAGCTTCGTCGCTCAGGGTGTGAAAAATCCACACCCCTGGGCAACGTAGCTTAGCCAACCCAAGTCTCTGTGTAGACAGCACTAGCTCAACAGAAGAATTCTTCTGTTAATCTAGCTCCATGCTTCTCAGGGAGGTGGATTTACTAGAGCAATGGGAGAACCCCTCCTGTTGCTATAGTAAGTGTCCACACTGAAGTGCTAAGCAGCACACCGTAGCATTTTAAGTGTAGACATAGCCTAAGGAAAGAGACTCATTGTTTGTCTTTATAATACCTGAGTAGTTCCTGTGTGAAGTTAGCGTAATAAAAAATTTGCTTCTTTTGTCAAACTAAAACCATTAACATGAGATGACTTTATCCCCTTGCTGAAAATAATGGAAACAACAATTTCCTTTTATGACACTTACATTGTAAAAGTGATCAGTAGTGTGTGTGTATAAATGAAATAGGGAGTTTGCACAAATATTTCCAAAATGAAACTATCTAATAGAAATAGATAGCAGATAAGGCTATATCTACACTAGCACTTCTGTCAGTCGGGTGTGAAAAAACACACCCTTGACCAACATACGTTTCACTGACGGAAGCGCCGGTGTGGACAGCGTTACGTTGGCGGGAGATGCTCTCCCGCTGACATACTACTGCCGCTCATTGGGGATGGTTTACTTATGCTAACAGGAAAGCTCTGTCCTGTCGGCATACAGCAGCTATACGGGAGACCTTACAGTGGCATAGCTGCTTTAAGATCTGTAGTGTAGACAGAGCCTAAGCTTTTAAAAATAAGCTTGAAAACTGAAATACTGAAATTCACGTTGGAGGTGATTAAACTGGCTCCGGTCCAAAATCTTTTGACCTCAGATGGGAAATGATTGGTCTATTAAACTAAGCATGTAATTTGTGGTCCTGCTGAGTTTTTTCTCTTTGTCTTATTTGTGCAGATAAATGGATATCGTTCTTCCTTGCCACCACGTGGTGACAGAAACACTTGAGTTTTAAGTAATTTCCCATGATATGATGAGCCATGTTAAGAGACATCAAATGAGAGCTTCCAGGAATTCCTTTTTCTACTAGCTATGGCAGGGTTTTTCCTTCCTTTTTTTCTCTACAAAAAGTAACACATTTTGCTGCTGAATGTTAGACTAGCAAATTTAGATTAGTATTAGGTATATTGGTCGGTTAAATCTTTTTATTAGTGGTGGTTGGATTTCTGGCCGCTCTCGTGTTTAACTTTCAGATTATTTTTCTCTCTTTTCAGGTCTCTGGATGGCAGACTCTGAAAAGAAATGCAGTTTTAAGAGGTATGCCTCATGTAGCCAGAAATATTCCTGACTAGCACGTACACCACTGGGCACAAGGCCATTCCTTCAAGGGATGTCCATTTGCTTGTCCTCTACTCAAGTCCCAGAAAATATGAAGAGGCTCCAAACAACTTCCACTAGACCAAAATGGGTCCTCAAAATCTCTGGGCCGTACTTCTATAGTCCAGGCTGAAAAATAAAATTCTATTTTCAGCGCTGGAGTCTCTTCGCATATTTGAACAGGGGGCTTTTGATCTCACCAGAAAGACTGTCTCATCACTGTCACCACTTAAAATCTTCAGTTTACTATAAGAAGTTCAGAATAAACTGCTTAACCTTCTGTTTGATGATCTTGACTTCTTTATTGTTGACAGAACAATGCTCTGGGAAACCACAAGGTGACTAGGACTGTAGCTTAACACCCAGCCTATCCCCCCAATTAAAGATTTTCTTCCTTTAGGATCGGACTGTACACCAAATACCCTTGTTAGTCACCCCAACTGGCTTACTTGGGGTATCAGACACAAAAAGCAAAAAACTGTCCCAGTGATCCAGCAATAAAATCATATCCCCACCAGTACTCTCTTCAACTGCCTTGGTTCCAGCCACAGCTTCTATCAAAGCAATAACTTAGGTATGTTGAGAGGGAGCTTGGTATTGTTCCTTGATTCCAGTTTGGCCTCCATGGTCCATCTCTTAGGGGACTGCTTTCCTTTCCCTCTCCAGATTTGGTATATTATTACTTCTAAATTTAGTTTTACAGGTGCTAGAGATGCCAATCCCTTCCAATTTAAATCTATGCTGCTTCCTCACCCTACTGTTTCCCGTCCATTTCAAGGATGACTCTCAAACTGAGGGAAAGTGTTCTTCCTACAATTCGGAACAATAGAACCAGGTTTTGGAGAACTTCACAAGAATAGGTTTCTTCCCCCTTATGCACAAAAGAAAGCAGAGTCAACCAATTTTAGTGCAGTGAGAGCTCAGCAACTTTTTTCAAAGTAACAGCTATAATCTTTTCCTTGTTTGTCAGGATTGGTTCAGAACTCTCAAACTTTGGGAGGTTTCACATTTCTCCACCGTGGCCACAAGTATGTACCTTTAGTTCAGATAGAACAATGACCATTCCCAGTATAAACTGCTTCTGTTTGGGTCAGTAGTGACTCTCCAGCTGTTGACTAAGAGTCTGGCATCACTTGCTATTAAGTTCCATTGTCAAGGTCTTCAAGAACCCACCTACTTGAAAGACTGGCTCACTGGAGCTCAGTTTTGCCAAGGGCTGACCTATGTTTCAGGCTTCCTGTTCCCTCTTTGAACAATTTGGACTCAGATTAATTTCAGGTCTATCCTGGAGTTTACAAAGGTTTCATGATTATCAGAGTTAGAAAGAGTTACTGTAGAGTCCAGAGTATCTTACTGTTTTTGGTCCACAAACCTAGATTACAATACTAACATATGTTAACTCTCATGACCTTGGGCACTTGCTCCTTTGCTAGGATAAGAATAAAAGTTTTCAAATCCAACCTTCAATAGTCACTAGATTATGAACATCTTTGGCAAAATGTTACATATTGTTTGATCTATCTGGGAGTCTCTGCTGTTGTGGACTATTGCTTAAAACACCTTAAACAGGGCGTAGGGATGCAGGTGTATGTTTCTCCCATCCAGATTCCCACCATGACAATTAAAATATCTCCGATGCAGTCTAGTATGTTTGCAGTGCAGCTCCAGACCCTGAAAAAGCCAGAATTTTCATCCTCATCCTACTTCAGGTTCTTGCCAAAGCTAGTGTTTGACTTCCATTTGAATCCTATGCTGCTAGTCTTCTAACACAACAGTGTACCTAGTGTGGCCACACTACATTAATTGATCATAGAGAGTTGTTAATGTATACTTGGATTTGGCGAAGGAACTTTAAGATTCTCCTAGGTATTCACTGCAGTTGGAGAGAAGTCCAAAGGGTAAGAAAAGTCAGTTCAAATATTGCTTAAATAGGCTGACATGATGCCTTAGTATTTGATTTGCTGCTGCTAGGTAGGTGTGAACTATTTTTATTGTGCTTTGTCTTCATAATTTTAAATAATTGGCAGGGTGCTTAGTCTCTGGATGGATACTTTTTATTTATTATAAACAGAAAATATATAACTGCATTTAAACTTCAGTCCAGGTAAGGATCCAGATACTTTTTGTGAGCACTATAATAGCTTGTCTTAGAATGTTACAATATTCAGAAATTGTGAGATGGCTATATGACGTTGAATGTATACCTATTATTCAGCACTCCCTTTTCAGTGTCAAAGCTAGATTGGATTGCTTGCATTGGTTGAGCAATCCTCTATCAGCTCCTTAGCCTCCCTCCTTTGGAAATTGTTGCTGCTTGCTGATCTCCTACAACTAAGATGCTGTGGAGATAGGAAGATTGGGTTTGTGGAAGCAGTATGTTATAAAAACCCCAGGTCTATCTGAGAAGACTGACTGGGTCATTAAAAAGACTAGCAGACCCATATCAGTGGAAAACCCGAGAAGACAATGGAAAACCCCAATCACTAGAACATTGACGCCTAAGAAACAAGGACCCAGAGGGAGGAGGAGGAAGCTTAGCAGAGACCCCCGGCTTGAGAGCAAAGGACTAAGGTTTCAGGTGGGGGTGGATTTCTGGAAGAAGCAGGCTGCTGTCTACTGGGACTGAATAAGAAATTCAGAGACAGAGCCTGAAAATGGAGTTCATTACTGCTTGGCTGGTGAATTGATCTGGTTTGACTGTGCATTAACCTTTATTTCTCTGTGCTAACCTAAGGATTTCCAGTGCTGTGTTCCAGTTGACTAATCAATCCTACTCTGTTTTGAAAACACTGCTTGGATACTTGCAGAGGTGAAGGGGTTCCTCCAAGAGACCGTTGATAAACTGGGGGCATATCACAGAGCCTGTTGAACTGTGAGCAGCACCATTGAGGACTTGCCCGTTGATGAAACCAATCTCTTTAATGAGAAAACAGTCTTTGCACTCATTAAATGTCTCCAGGAGAGCCATCTGGTCTCTGGGCATTTATATCCTGGCCCTGAAGAGGAAGGCAACACAAACAGGCATGCATAAGCCAAGGCCTCTTCCCCAGCCTTTCTATCACCAGCAACCATCTGATTCGCCACACAAGCATCAAAGGGTGCGGGCCAAGGTGTGCAGCTCCATCCACCTCAATGACAGTCACCCAACCTCATTCACGTCTAAAGATTCCCTTTGACAGGACACTTGAGAGATGCAACCTGACAGTGACGCCATCACCATCTGTTTCCAAACTCCTCTTTTGGCATCCATCTACCTTACTTTGCCCACAACTGGAATGCTATAACAAAGGACAAGTGGGTACCAAATATCCACTTAGAAACTCAGAGGTGTAGCCATTCTCTGCCTCCTCCAAAACCCCCTCCAGGCCCATCCTCAGGGGCCACTCTCCCAAGGAGATCCTCCAGCAGGAAGTAGAGACTCTCCTTGAGTGAGGAGCTGTATAGTAAGTGCCACCTCAGCATCAAGGGAGAGGGTTCTACTCAACTATTTCATAGTTCTCAAGAAAAAATTCCGCATCGTTTTGTTGGTATCAGTAATTCCATGCACCTGCCCTCAATACTATACACAATACATAATCAACTTGGGGAACTGACTGCTATAAGATATTTCCTTTTGTTCTTTTAAAAATTTGTTGTCTTTATATTATTTGAACCTTTGTATATTATTTGAACCTATATTTGTTGTTTTTATATTATTGAACCTTCTCTTGCATTATGAGGGAGGATGAATAAGATACAATTTACTTTCTGTATATCAGTAATTGCTGTACCTCTTCATGTCTTCCTTATTCATTTCCTCTCTAAATGAAACAGTGTCTGGCCTTTCGCGTGCAAATCTTGTAGAAGTCATTCTTTAACTGGCTCAGAACCCCTCTGTCTGCTTTATATTTTTGAGATTGTGTGACCATAACTGAAAACAGTGTTTGAGGTGATAAATCAATGATAGTGTTCTCTGTGTATACTAACACTTTGTTCCTTTATTTGACTGCCGACGTGGAGCCATCCACAGTAAGGCCGAGGTCTTAAAAACCAGATTTTTAAAGTTATTTAGGCATTGTTCAGCTCAACATTGCAAGGCCTAAGTCTTCTCTTCAAAAGTGACTGAAGCATTTAGGAGTCTAATTCTCACTGAAACTTAATGGGACGTAAAGCTTGGTCTACACTACAAAGTTAGGTTGATGTGTGTGTCTACATGTATGGTCTAACACTCAATTTGTCCCCTGGCCAATGTAAGTGCCTTTTCACAGCGACACAGTAAAACCACCTTCCCGAACGGCATAGAGGCATGGTCGACCTACTGAAGTCGACATAGTGCGAGTGTAGACACTGCATGACCTCTGGCAACCCTAACAGCCCTCCAAGCTGTCCTACAGTGCCCCATTCTCTGCAACAGTGTACACTGTTGCGTGTTTGATTTTAATAATTTGATTGTTAAACAACAGGTTTAAATGGTATTTGTCAAGGCTAATTCTCCACTCTGGCACTTCGAGTGCAGAAGGTGGGGGCCACTCCAGGCTTGTATTAAACTCTCAAGGTTACAGCTGTTCTCTGACCTTGGATTTGGTAGATGCTGCCACCACCCAAGTGCAGAACCCCTTTGAGAGCCCAGGAAGGCACACGTGGGAATTCCTTCCTGTGGGGTACCCTCAAGCCCTCTACCCTCCCCTCCCCCCGGGGAAGAACTGAGAAAGAAGAAGAAGGGGGATAAAAGGAAATCAGCTGTTGCCACCAGCTAATTAATCAACATATGCCCAAACCTCTTAAGACACAAAAATCCAATTCTGTTCTTAAAAAAGGTAAATCTTATTAATAAAAAGAGAGAGAAAATACAGCTGGGAACTCAGGCTATTGCTAGATTTTAAAAGAGCAACGACAAGGATTAAGCACCAAGCATAGCTTTCTTGAGATCCAGCTTAAAGGTTACAAGCAAAACAGAAGCA